GCGGGTCTGTGGCTGCTGAGGGTCTATTGCTGCTAGGTTGGATCTCGTTACTGGGGGGTGATTTGTTGCGGGGGGGTCTATTGTTGCTGCCTGCAGAGGATCTATTTTACTTATATTTTTTGTTATCATTAAGAAATTACAAACAAACCACTTATCACCAAAAATATGATACATGGTTATGTTTTCTTTAAAGGGCAGTACTGAAAGATGGGTAGAGGGTGAAACTATATGATATACTCAGAAGTGGGGGGGGGGCAGACAAGGGGTTACTCAGAAGTTGGGAGTACCTGCACCTATTTTCTGAGAAAACAAAGCCCTGGGTCCAGGAAAGTCATCAAAGCAGGAGACATTTTCCACCCCCTGTATCCTTTAAAAGCCACCCAAAACCCCTTAGTTCCAAATCCTCCAATGACTCCTGTAATTATAATGCTGAACCTGCGCCTCCTAATGATTTTATCCAAAAATTTAGAGGAAATGAAAACTCTTTTTTTTTTTTCCCCCTATTGCTTAATCAGGTTGAGCATTAGACAGAGAGAAGTTGTTTACAGATGGGGATTTTGCTACGATGGATTTCCCACAATGCATCGGCAGACGCTCACTCCCCCCGGGGGGGATCCGCGGCAGCAGCGAATGTACTGGCCGATCTCAGTTTCTGAAGTGACAGGATGACTCGGGAAGAGCGTGGAATGTAATGTAATCTGACAGGCGGAGCACGGAGCCGACATCGCTGTCCCTCACCCAGTCGGCCCCAAATAGAACAGCTAGGTGCGTCGGGAGCTGTGTCTAACGCGTTCCTTCTGAGAGCACCTGCAGATCGCCCACGGCGCCTTCTACTTCCAAACTTCAGACCTTTGCATGTCTGAAACGTGCGCAACATTGTGCGCTTTCCTGACAAGCAGAGAGCTGCACTGCCTTTTCACAGACGTGTGGCGGTGCCATTAATTCTAGGTGTTTTGTTAACGCGTTTCTTTTCTTTGTATGTTTTTCACACTACACGCATAGGGCACCACATTCATTTTACATGACAAAGTAGCTGATGTACCTTTCTTGGGCGTTGAGCTTTGCGTATTTGAAAGGTTCACAAAAATTGCGCCACCCGCTTGTCGTGTTTGGGGGTGCCATTAACAATGAATGCAAGCGCAACACGAGCTTTCCATGTGTTTTGTGAATGCATGCAACAAACAAAAAAAAAAAAAAAAAAACGCACATTCACAAAAACACTCAGGTTTGAATTGTTAACGGTTCCCCCAAGCATCTGGAAAGGCGCATGCCAAAACTGCATGTGTTAAGGACTTGTTTTTTTTTCTCCCCCATTTCAGGCCATTGAAATTAATGGGCTGCTCTACACCTGGAAACACACCTGCACTTGGTCAAACTGTAGATGCGAACGGAGCCCGTGGGCCGATGCACACCAAAAAAGGTGCGCCCGAGCATGTGGGGTTTCTACGTAGTGCATTTTTCACAACCCATTAATTTCAGTGTGGCAGGCGCAATATTTAACATTGCGCCTCACCAAATCATATGGTACTGCGGTACCTTGCACTCAGGGGCCACAAACACATTCGCATATGCTAGATGAAGTAGCATGAACCGGTCCTGAATGAACAGATGTTCATGGCAGAGTTACATTGTAACAACTGTGAATTTCCAGCATGCTGGACACTGTATACTGTCCCGGGTTTTCGCTACCTAAACGCCCCTGATGTCTTCTTGATGACGAAACGCGTTGGGTGGAGCTTCTGGAGGGATGGTGGCCATGTTTTCAGTTTGAAACTTTTCACATTCAATGCTGGTTGTTTTAATGCTTAATGTATGTGGATCATTAATTAAATTTGTCAAAAATTTACTGAAATACTGCAAGTTGTATTATTGATTAGTGCTGCTTTTTTGTTATTCACTTTTTAATTTGTCTTTTGTGTGCAAGCTGCTTTTCCTTACTATTTTTCAGGGTGGATAAAAATCAATGATTTTTTTTTTTTTTAAAAATAAAAAAAAAAAAAATCTGATTTTTTTTATTTAAATTGGATTTGTTTTATTTAAAATCTGATTTTTTTTAAATAAAATGCTTTTTGAGGAAAATATATTACCATCCAAAGGTTATTCCATCATGAAATAAAGATTAGTTTTTTAATTATGTAGAATAAGGCTGTATACGTTTCATTTTTTTGGTAAATAAGTTCCAGGAATCCATTCACCATGTCATGCTCTTCCAGAGGTTTTTGTAAGATTATTGGGCAGTTTCTCTGCCTACAAGATGATATCACAGATGTTTGGTTTACTTTTGCAGTTCTCAAAACTGAATTTGACTCAGTGGAGATCACATGCCTCTTCTTCACAGCAAAAATGTTTATAACATGAACAGAGTTAAGAAAAAGACCTTCATCCTAACTTCTACAAACCTATGAATACAGAATCAACCCCTTCACTGCTAAATTTCAAGAAGTTCAGTGAATAGAATAGAAACAATATTTTTCTGATGGTTTGGAGTGGAATAGATCTGCACAAGAAGAAAGTAAAACTAAGTGTGAGGAGGAAGGGGCTGACAGTCTACGTTCTTAAAATATATATATTTTGTTTAGCCAAATTAGTTAACAAACATGGATGTTTGTTTAAGCCAGTGGTGGGCAACCTTTTTTTTCAACTGAGCCAAATCTCACCAAAACCAGGATTGAAATTTATTTTGAGAGCCACATTTTTAAAACTGAAAATACATCCCCCATATAGTAATTCATCCCCCATATAGTAATTCATCCCCCCTATAGTAATTCATCCCCCCTATAGTAATTCATCCCCCCTATAGTAATTCATCCCCCATAGTAATTCATCCCCCATAGTAATTCATCCCCCATATAGTAATTCATCCCCCATATAGTAATTCATCCCCCATATAGCAATTCATCCCCCATATAGCAATTCATCCCCCATATAGCAATTCATCCCCCATATAGCAATTCATCCCCCATATAGCAATTCATCCCCCATATAGTAATTCATCCCCCATATAGTAATTCATCCCCCATATAGTAATTCATCCCCCATATAGTAATTCATCCCCCATAGTAATTCATCCCCCATATAGTAATTCATCCCCCATAGTAATTCATCCCCCATATAGTAATTCATTCCCCATATAGTAATTCATTCCCCATATAGTAATTCATCCCCCATATAGTAATTCATCCCCCATATAGTAATTCATCCCCCATAGTAATTCATCCCCCATATAGTAATTCATCCCCCATATAGTAATTCATCCCCCATATAGTAATTCATTCCCCCATATTGTGTCAATTCACTTACCTTTGCTCCGCGCATTCCTCTCGCCGTGTTCCCGCGTCGTATCGGTCTTCAGGGCGGACTGTGAGAGGACAGGAGTTCGTCACGCTGCCCCGCCTACATCCTGACAGCCAATGTTTGCCACGCTCCGCGAGCTGGATTAAAAGGTCCGCTGGGCCGTAGTTTGCCCATTGCTGGGCTAGCTGCAGAGTCCTGACTTTTGGGGCGGCCGCCCGAGAGGAGGGAGGGGAGCGGGCGCCCGGCACACAGAAGAGCCGCATTAAAATGTCTAAATAGCCGCGGCTTGCCGACCACTGACCTATGGCAACCCTATTGCCTGTCACCTGGTGGGCAGTGTGCTCCGGAGCCGCAGCAAAGGTGAAAAAGAGCCGCATGCGGCTCTGGAGCCGCGGGTTGCCGACACCCGGTTTAAGCAAATAACATATGCTGGAATGTACGAGTACGAGTTGGGTGGTATTTGGGTATCAGGTCGGTGAGGTAGTTTGGGGCAGCATTATGGTCGGCTTTGTATGTCAGTGTTAGTATGTGACTTGTACTACCTACCAAAGGACTTGTATTTCTGTCCATCCACTTCTGAGAGTTACCCAGCTCCGCCACAGAGCACAGCCCTGCATGTTAGGAGAGGGGAAGATGAAAGAAAGAGCGCACAAACCTTGCGCATTACCTCAATAAATAGTGACTAATTTTATTATAAAGGAAATATACTCACAAAGTGATGGTATAACAAGCATAAGTAACCTTTTGGATTTACCTGTAATACGGTTTGGATTATGGTTACTTATGCTTGTTATACCCTCACTTTGTGAGTATATTTCCTTTATAATAAAATTAGTCACTATTTATTGAGGTAATGCGCAAGGTTTGTGCGCTCTTTCTTTCATCTTCTTCTACAGTTTTATCAAGCTTCCCCATCTTCATGATAGAGCTGCACAACCTCTGATCACCAGCGGGATGAACACACAACACGCTGCTTGTTACTAAAGCCCGTTTGATCTGAGTCTTTGAGCGCAGGAGATAATGCATGTTCGGAGAGGGGACCTGATTTCTCTCACTGCAGTTAGGCAGCACTTACAAGTCAGGACAGTGAAAGGAGCACTGGCAGTCTGATGAGGTCATCTCTATGTCACTCTGCTCTCTTCTATCAGCATGCTCTTTGTCAGAACATGAACTGATTGGCTACTTGTGCTGCTTCTCTCTTGTCCAGTCTGAGCTCTGCTGTACACAGACTGCAGGAGGCCGATACCAATCCAAGATGGCAAGGTGCTGTTGCAGGGGCAGAATCATGCATACCTCATCACAATGGCATGGTGGTAGGGGTGAAGGGGTGGGGGAGTTTGTGCAGGAATGGGTCAGCAGCACCGGCAGTGACCACAGATAGGCATCTGCAGCACTCACTTGGACTCTCTGCAATCCCTTCTAATCTGACTTCCAGGGTAGATACTCTATAACAGCAAGCTCCCAGTGAAAAATCTAACACAGGCCCCAACCAAAGACATGTTCCATGGACAAACAATACTTCTGTGTTGAGCTTCTAATAACCTCAGTAAAAGCTGTCCATCATCTGTGAACAATATCAACTACGTTACTTGCCCCGCCCACTGCAGCATGAGAGGGAAGTTGCAAAAATGCAGATCTGAGTTCTTGAAGTTACACAGTATACACATTTATTTCAGGTTCACTTTCTTACCCGCTGCTTCACTTACCCGCCGGTAAAGATTTTCTCCACATATTTCCGGATGAACTCCTTTTGCTCCGCCATTTGCTCATCCTGGGCGGACTCAGTGCTCTGATTGGATGAAAAAGACTCAGAAGAGGACCTCTGGGAATGGTTCCAGCTGTGGCGGCTCGGCGACACCATGTCGTTCTCGCTGTCGGCGGACTCAGTAGCGTCGCTCTCTATCTCTTCCTCCCTGTCGCCATTTTCAGGTGGGTTGACTTCCAGTGACAGGATCTCGTCCAGAGAAGGGGGGCACGGCGCTACCACGACCAGGGGTTCCGTATCCAGGTCTATCAGGTTGCCCACTGGTACGTCAGGTGTCTCCATGGTGATGCAGTCTCTTCTGACGTGAAACAAAGCTTAGTCTCCAGGGGGCCCTGGGCTATATAAGATCCAGATTATACTAAGTCACTGCTTAGAAACCCATCTCCGACCAGTGAGGGAACCTAGAAATAGAAAAGGAATAATGAAAGGTTTGCAGTCAGTACTTTTGTTTTTTTCAACAATTCGATACATTGGAAACATTATGAATAACCCCGGACCCTGCATTCACTATATCTGGTCTCCTCGGACCCTGCATTCACTATATCTGGTCTCCTCGGACCCTGCATTCACTATATCTGGTCTCCCCGGACCCTGCATTCACTATATCTGGTCTCCCCGACCCTGCATTCACTATATCTGGTCTCCCCGGACCCTGCATTCACTATATCTGGTCTCCTTGGGCATTCACTATATCTGGCCTTGGACCCAGCATTCACTAGATCTGGTGTCCCAGGACCCCGCATTCACTAGATCTGGTGTCCCAGGACCCCGCATTCACTATAGCCGGTGTCCCAGGACCCCGCATTCACTATAGCCGGTGTCCCAGGACCCGCATTCACTATATCCGGTCTCCCTGGACCCTGCATTCACTATATCCGTCTCTCCCCGGACCCTGCATTCACTATATCCGCTCTCCCCGGACCCTGCATTCACTATATCCGCTCTCCCCGGACCCTGCATTCACTATATCTGCTCTCCCCGGACCCTGCATTCACTATATCTGGTCTCCCCGGACCCTGCATTCACTATATCTGGTCCCCCACAGTACACACAACATGGAAATGCAATTATTTTAGTAAATACAAACTGCTAAATACCTTTCCTCATCAGCAGTATATAGCAGTCTTGTGACTTCTATCAGTGTCCAGCAGAGCACTGGTTACAGCTTGAAGGAGTTTTCATTCTCCTCTGACTGTCCTATGAGACTGCATGACCCCTGACCACCTGTCTGGACAGTGCTGATTGGCCCTGTGCTGATCACATGCACCCTCTCAATGAAAAAAAAAAAAACTTTCTAGCAATACACACTAAACTGATCGTGTGCACAGTGACTCCTAGAGCACTGTAACATCAGCAGATGGATTAGGGACAGTAGAAAAAGGGAAGAATAAGAGAAGACAGGATCAAACAGCCTTTTAACACAATGCGGAGGATTAACCCCTTAGGTTCCACAGTGAGTATAACAAGCATGCTTTACTGCATATACAGACTGATTGTACTGTTGTGGGTTTAACACTTTAAAGGGTGATCCATCCAACTCTGATCTTTCAGTTTGTGGTGGATGGTAGCGTCTCCGAGACTCTATTGGTAAGTTCCTGGCTCTGCACACCTGCTGTGCTCTTCATGAGGGGCCACGAGTTTTATTTTTTTTATATTTTGAAAAATAGAACAGAAGGAGCTGGGGCACACAAATGGGGGTGGTAACAACAGATGGGGGTGGGAACACACAAAGGTTGGTGCAGACCAGGGGCGGACTGACCATTTGGAAACTCGGGCACTGCCCGAGGGCCCGGGGTCAGTAGGGGGCCCCATGAGATGCCCCTGGTACCTTTTTCACTTTTTCATAGGCTTTTTTGAGTTTGGGCAAGGACACAGGGGCCCCATAATCCCCTATTGCCCGGGGGCCCCATGAGTTGTCAGTCCGCCCCTGGTGCAGACACCCAAAATTCAGGTGGGTCTATTCATAGGTGAACAGGAACAGGCAGTATAGCGGGGTGATCATGCTGTTGGAGTATCTAAAATATAGAAGAATCCCAGTGACTCCGCCCACCACGCTCCAACTATAACCAAAATATCAAGTTTGGGTGGAATGAACCTTTAAGGACAGTCTATGCACCACACAGTATAGCCCTGAGACAGAAAGAAGAGACTCTTTATGACCACCAAATGAATGGCACAACCATGCATAATGTGCAGCACATTGCATTGCTACAAAGCAACAATGTGACTCTACATGCGATGGCTGCGTGGCATTTCTCAGGGTGGGTTTCTTGATGCAGACAACAGTGTACCGTGCCTGTGTAAGGTGTCTGAGCACATTAATCTTCATTGGAAGCCCATGTGACAGGGTGACAACAGGAACATAACCAGGAAACAAGGACACAGCGTTGTCACCCTATAACAGGAAGTGCCCAAACGTGGACCCTTATGGCAGGATCACCATGGCTTATTTTAAAAGGCATGGCATTACTTTATTAAAATGTATATGAGATTTTATCGATTGGGTTTATATCTACTTTAATTTAGTGGGAGAAAATAGTTGATCAGCGTCTTCGAAAACATCAAAACTTTCCTTTTTTGATGACGTCTGGAAATGCAAAAACGCAAAACACTTAAATGTCAGAATATAGCATGACATTATACCAGGGGCAGACTGACCATTTGGAAACTCGGGCACTGTCAGAGGGCCCGGGGTCAGTAGGGGGCCCCATGAGATGCCCCTGGTACCTTTTCCATAGGTTTTTTTGAGTTTGGGCAAGGACACAGGGGCCCCATGTTCCCCTATTGCCCGGGGGCCCCATGAGTTGTCAGTCCGCCCCTGCATTAAACAATTTTATTCAATTACATTTTTTAATTTACAGATCTGCCAGCCAGAGGGGAAAGAGCTGTGAAGAGGAGAGGGATTTTTTTCAAAATGATAAACGTCCGGGGCTCTGTACTACACTACTGCTAAGGGTGTAGTTATAGTCATAGCAGACTATGTGACGGCTGTGGGGTCCAGAAGCACAGGGGGCCCAGGGCCACAGGTTGCAATAGGTTTCATAAATCATTTGGATGTAACAAATGTAAACGTTTGGACATCTCTATACTTTTGCTGTGTGGATAACTGATACTTTGTATCACTAGAGGAATTGTAATGAGGATGGAGATTAGATTGTAAGCTCTATGGAGCAGGGCCCTCTGAATCCTCCTGTATTCATTTGTATTGTAATTGTACTGTCTGCCCTTATGTTGTAAATCGTTATGTAAACTGTTGGCGCTATATAAATCCTGTATAATAATTAGAGAGACAAGGGGGCCCCAGGGGCGGACTGACCATTTGGAAACTCGGGCACTGCCCGAGGGCCCGGGGTCAGTAGGGGGCCCCATGAGATGCTCCTGGTACCTTTTTCATAGGCTTTTTTGAGTTTGGGAAAGAACACAGGGGCCCCATGATCCCCTATTGCCCGGGGGCCCCATGAGTTGTCAGTCCGCCCCTGGGGGGCCCATACTGATTTTGCCATGGGGCCCCATCAACAACAGTTTATTAAATTAAACATTTACATTTCTGTCAGCCGGAAGAGAGATGCTATGAAGAATAGAGGGATTTGTGTCCAAAAAGGTAGACATTGGGGGGGGTTGTTGTACCACACTACTGTCATGGGTGTGACTTTAGTAATAGCAAACAATGTGACTGCTGTTGGGCCCTTAACCACAGGGGGTCCAGAACCATCTTGATGCAGGTGGCAATAGCTTTGAAAAATTCATTTGGATGTAAAAATGCATATAAACTTTGGTCGTTTCTACAATTCCTATATAAATAATTGATGGTTTGTATTACTAAAGGAATTGCCTTTGTGATGGAGACTAGAGAGACAAGGGGGCCCCGTATTGGTTTTGTTATGGGGCCCAGTCACACAAGGTGTATTCAATTAAACATTTAGCCAGAGAAGAGACTGCAGTAAAGAGTAGGATTTGCATGCAAATGGACAGACGTTTTGGGCTCTGTACTACACTACTGCCATTGGTGTGACTATAGTAATAGTAGACCATGTGACTGCTCTGGGGCCCTGAAGTACAGGGGCCCAGAGCCGCCTGGCTGCAAGTGGCAATAGCTTTGACAGATTCATTTGTAAGCAGGGGCGGACTGACAACTCATGGGGCCCCCGGGCAATAGGGGGTCATGGGACCCCTATATCCTCGCCTACACTAAAACCACACCCAATAAAGCCTACGAGAGGTACCAGGGGCATCTCATGGGGCCCCCTACTGACCCCGGGCCCTCGGGCAGTGCCTGAGTTCCCAAATGGTCAGTCCGCCCCTGTTTGTAAGTAAAGTTTGGTCATCTTCTTACATAACTATATAATTGATACTTTGTAGAGGAATTGCCTTTGAGATGGCGATTAGAGAAACAAGGGGGCCCCGTATTAGTTTTGCTATGGGGCCCCATATTAGTTTCAATCACACACAGTTATGGCCTTGGCAAGCAGTAATTTCCTCTTCTAGCAGGGAGCAGAAGTGAGTCAGTGTTTTTCCTCTTGGCATCTGATCCCCCCCTGTTCCCTTTTGTTTAATAACAAGACACGGCGACACCATAAATCCTCGCCGACCAGCCGCCTACGCAGCCAGATTGCATTGCCACCAATGAGTGTTCGTCAGAGGATTCGTTGCCTGCCAGGCTGCCCTGTAATGGACGCTGATGGCTTACACCAAGCTGGCCAGGGCTCATTTCTAGCTCTCAATGACGGATAGGTGGAAGCCACTAATATACGTATCACTGAGTGCAAAGGGTGCTGCCGTGATTCTGCATCCTTCAACACCTTCCTGGGAGCGTCCAACTCCCATATAAAAGGAACACAGTTCTTGAAGAGAAGCAGCAAAGGGTGCCGACAAAGGAGCATAGTAGGACAGACAACTGTAGAGAGCACCAGAGGCTATATGGAGATAGAGGAGACACAGAGGTGTGCAGGCGTGCAAAGGGGCTCAGTTGGAGACAAGGGGTGCAAAGGGGTGGTGCAGTTTGGGACACAAAGAGCAAACAGGTGCAGTTGGAGACACAGAGCGTAAAGGGGTGCAGTTGGAGACACAGGGTGCAAAGGGGTGCAGTTGGAGACACAGGGTGCAAAGGGATGGCACAGTTGGAGACACAGAGCGTAAAGGGGTGATGCAGTTGGAGACACAGGGTGCTAAGGAGCACACATGGAGACAAGGGACACAAAGGTGTGGGGCCATTGGAGACACAGGGTGCAAAGGGGCGGTACAGTTGGAGACACAGGGTGCAAAGGGGCGGTACAGTTGCAGAC